TTCATTTCTCCTCTTTATTTAGAAGACATGAAAGAACTCATTCTGGAGAGAAACTCTATGAATGTCAACAAGGTGTTCGGACCTGTATATCACACACAAGTCTTCAAAGGCACAGGATCACACACACAGGGGATGCACATTTCAAATGTAAGATATGTGGGAAAAACTTTGATTATCCCAGTTTACTTCAAATACATCAGAGAATGCATACTAGGGAGAAGCCCTATGCATGTAAGCAGTGTGGCAAAGCCTTTTCTAGATCCAGTCACCTTCACACACATGAAAAAACTCATACTGGACAGAAGCCTTATGATTGTAAGCAGTGTGGGAAAGCCTTTGCTACATCTGGTTACCTTCAGATTCATGAAAGAATGCACACTGGAGAGAAGCCCTATGAATGTAAGCAGTGTGGAAAAGCCTTCACTCAGTCCTCTAACCTTCACTCACATGAAAAAATTCATACTGGAGAGAAGCCCTATGAATGTAAGCAGTGTGGCAAAGCCTTTGCTTGTTCCAGTTACCTTCACAGACATGGAATAATACATACTGGGGAGAAGCCCTATGAATGTAAGCAGTGTGGCAAAGCCTTTTCTAGATCCAGGAACCTTCACTCACATGAAAAAACTCATACTGGAGAGAAGCCCTATGATTGTAAGCAGTGTGGCAAAGCCTTTGCTATGTCCAGTAACCTTCAGATTCATGCAAGAGTACATACTGGAAAGAAGACCTTTGAATGTAAGCAGTGTGGCAAAGCCTTTGCTAGATCTCGTGACCTTGAAACACATGGAAGAACACATACTGGAGAGAAACCCTATGAATGTAAGCAGTGTGGCAAAGCCTTTTCTACATCCAGTTACCTTCCGATTCATGAAAGAGTGCATACTGGAGAGAAGCCCTATGAATGTAAGCAGTGTGGGAAAGCCTTTTCTACATCCAGTTCCTTTCAGATTCATGGAAGAACACATACTGGAGAGAAGCCTTATGAATGTAAGCAGTGTGGCAAAGCCTTTACTACATCCAGTCATCTTCACTCACATGAACAAACTCATACTGGGGAGAAGCCCTATGTGTGTAAGCAGTGTGGGAAAGCCTTCACTCATTTCTCTGGCCTTCACACACATAAAAAAATTCATACTGGGGTGAAGCCTTATGCATGTAAGCAGTGTCGCAGAGCCTTTGCTCGTTCCTCTGACCTTCACTTACATGAAAGAATTCATACTGGAGAGAGGCCTTATGCATGTAAGCAGTGTGGCAAAGCCTTTGCTACATCCAGTAAGCTTCACAGACATAGAAGAACACATACATGGGGAGAAGCCCTATGAATGTAAGCAGTGTGGCAATTTCTTTGCTAGTTCCAGTTACCTTCCCAAACTTTAAAAACTCTTACTGGAGAAAAGCCCTATGAGTGTGAGCAATGTGGCAAAGCCTTTGCTAGTTCCAGTGACCTTCAAAGACATGGGAGAACACATATTGGAGAGAAGCTCTATGGTTGTAAACAATGTGGAAAAGCCTTTGTTACATCTGCTCAGCTTCACTTACATGAAGGAACCCATAGTGCAAAGAAATCATACTCAGGAAAACAATTTGC